GCCTCGAAGTCCCGCCCCGCGAGGGGCTCTCGGGGCGGACGAGGCCATCCGTGGCTTCCAGGCAGGCCGGCCGAGGCTGGCCGGCGGGGAGCGCGCCACCGCGCTCCGCCCGGGCGACGGAGCGAGACCCGACCCCGGGAAAGAGAGCGGAGAGGCCGGCTGGGCCACACGCGGACACCCGCCGGGGACCGCTGGCATTTCTGGCGGCGCCGGCGCACCGGCCGGACCAGGGCCCGCGCGCTGCGCCCCCGCGGCGGCCGGCTCGGCTGCACCGCGCGGGGGTCATGAACGAGCCGATCCCGGCCAAGTGCTGAGGGCGGCAGCTCCGCGTCCCGCGGGACCGCAGTAAAGATTAACCGTCGCCCCATTAGCACCGGCTCCGGCTTTTTCCCTGTTTGCGCGGCATGCCGCTCGCCTTGTGGTCAGGCGCGCCTAGCCGGAGGCTGCGCCCTGCTTATCCCGGCCGTCTCAGAGCGTGAACCTGGGCTGGGCTTCGTCAGAGACTGGGGTTTGAGTTAACTTATTGCCCTTCTCAACACAAACCGCTCAGGCGCGCGCGTTGCCGAGGGACAGAGGTTTTAAAAAGAGGGGCAGAGTAAAAGAGGCCCTCTGAACCTGCTCCATCCTTTTGCTTCCTTGTCCTGTTTCTTCACAGCGCCCCTCATTTGGTTGCTGTCTGCAACTTTTTTCCTGCTGGAAGCTGGCTCCGTTTGGGCCTCAGTGGAACCAGTTACCCTATTGGCGTGCACAAGTAAAGCTTCAGTTCTGACATCTTCCCACAGGGTTTGGATGTTATAAAGGATACAAGACAGACACAAGTTCAAGCCATATGAGGGGATTTATTTGAGACCACCACAATAAAGCCTCCAGTAAGTGCTTCTTTCAAGCATTTACTGAACCACCACCACCACTATCAGCAATAATAATAAGCACCACTGCTGAGCAATTATTATGTATCAAGACTTTGCTAAGTACTTACATGTATCATCTCATTTAATTCATTTGGCAAGAGAAAATATGTGTTTGGTTATTCCCATTTTATCGGGCAAAAGAAACTAAGGCACAGGAAAGTCACAGTGAGCCACTTGGTTAAGGTTACACACCCCAGTGAAATGTTGAGATTCAAACTCAAGTCCATAACTCCAAAGCTCATTCCAGTAACCATTCAAGTCAACAGCGGCCTCTGGCCATGCAGCCCAGCTCTAGACACAGACTCCACAGTCCTGATCTTCTGTGGAGCAGAATGCATCGTGCCCCTGTGCCCTATCCTTGTCATCCTCACAATACAACATGGCAACTCAGCATATCTTGTCCTCTATAAAAGACTCCAAAACATCTCTCTTCACCTGTTCCTAGTTATGTCACACTCAACACATGCCTTAACATGTGACCGCCTCTGGCTTATGCCTAAGGGACCCACCCCCTTTGTCTTCTCTAGCGGATCAAAGTCACTGGAACCCCAGGTCACCGAGGCAAAGCACTTATTGATTAGATTCCCAGCAATGCTCTGCTGCTGCTAAAAGATTAGACTTGGACTCCTAGGGCATGGGGGCCCCCGCTCCTCCCTCACCTTGCTCCTCCTTCTCTAATGTGTAACCAGCTTGGACTGAGCTGCACATAAACAGGCAGGGGCTGGTCAGATGCATGTGCCACACTCCGTGCACAGCCTGGAATTGAGAGGTGAACTCCCAAGCCACAGGATGACAGAAGATAAGGTACAGCCACGTTATGTTCATTTCAAGTCTGGTTTCGAGGAAATAGATGGGGATACATTGACGTTCTTTGGAGGATTTCTGGGATATGGGTAGAACTACCACAGACCAAAACGACCTCTCTTGTACCTTTGACAGTTCATTTAATGCCCAAGAAAAACGGCTTCTTCTTCAGTAATTGGAGTAATTAAAGTAAGGATTTGTGCTCTGTTTTGTTACTTTTTTCCAAGTGATTCTGCATAACCATATTACTAAAAAATGCTTCCCCCCCCCCACCAAACACAGAGACAAATTAACCTGAATGTAATCATAAAACTGATCTGAAATCTTCAAAAATGTCAATGCAAGAAAGACAAAACAGGTCGAAAAGCCATTCTAGATGAAAAGAGACTAAGAAGAACTGGCAACCAAATGCAACATGGGATTATGGATTATGGAAGGAAGAAGAAACTGCTATAAAGGACAGCACTGGGTCAGCTGGGAAGTTCTGACCATGGGCTGTGCCTTAGCTAATGTTAGTGTATCAGTGTTCCATCAATGGATGTAATTGTGATATTATAATTATGTAAGAGGATGTCTTTGCTCTTAGAGCACATGCTGAAGTATTTAGGAGGAAAGTCACACAAATATCTGCAGGTTGTTTTTGAATGGTTCAGTCAAAACAACACACACACACACACACACAGTAAGAGTTAAACAAATGTAGTGAATGTTAACTATTGCTGAATAAAGGTGAAGGCTATGGAATGCTCACTACACTACTATTTCAACTTCTCTCTAGGCATACTTTTCAAAATAAAAACTTAAAAATATAAAGGATATAACGCTCATGTTCCCATAGACAGTTTTCTTAAAGAAACCCACCCATCCCTCACACAATATAATACAATTGACCAATCTGTGCCCCTGTTAGAGTATCCCTTTAAGTCCTGATCTGGTAAAAACTGCTGGACATCCCAGGCCCTGCTGTGAAACCAGGTTTAGGTTACTTAACTGAGCTTTGGGTTTTCTCTATTATGAGAAAACAAGAATATATTGGGATGGAATATAAGGATATAATATGAGATATTCAGGTATTACACTAGTACTTTAGAGTTTGGCTGTAATTAAATGAGACGATTTAGAGAAGTTTAAGTGACAAACATTTCAATGTTAATAGTTATATGTGCATTTAATGCATATTTTAAAAATAATTAGTACATCATTATTTCATGAGTAGTGTAGATTTACAAAGCTTAAGTACATTGAACTTTAAAGACAAATACTAAGTTGGTAGCTATACAGATGGTATGTGGTTTTGGCAAAATCCATGAAGGTCTATTCAAATAACTAAAGTTTGAAAGATAACACAAAAAGGAAGGTAATATGCTTAACACAGTGCCTGGCATATAGTAGCTGTTCAAGCTGAATTCTGAGCTATCCTTAAATTCCCTTAGGGGTTTTAGAAAGTATGTTGTGATACTTTCCTTGAGAAGCAAGGAATTGCTGATAATGGAACACAGAAAGAATGAGAACTGATGTAAGAGGCAGTGTTTTTTATGTCTGTGTTCCAGACTTTGACAGAGGTAGGATGAGCAGGGGACTAAGGGTAAAGAGACCCAAGTTGTCACTCTGGGTATGCTTAAAGAACTGAGACACGTCACCTGGCCTATGGGACCTCAATTTCTCCAACTGGAGAATGGAGGAAATAGACAAGAATTCGTTGCTCCATAGGGCCTCTTTCAACTTGAAAATTTTGAGGCTCAAGAAGCCCCTGACCTTTTCCAAAGTTGGGTGCAAAGTCACCCTTGGTTTAGCTTTTGGAGGCATGTGTCTAAGAAAGGGTATGAAGTTGCTTCTCCGTATCTATTCGGTCAGTGGCGGCTGGAGGGTTTGCTCCCCTGTGGAGCGGTGGGGGTTTCGGGGAATCAGCTCTGGGTTCCCTCCTACCTCTGCGGCATGAGGTGTGCCCTTTAATCCTTTCTGAGTCCTAGCTTAGTCACCTGTAAACCAGGAATGATTTCATGTACTTTACAGTATTGTGAAAATGACTGGGGATGTATGAAAAATCAACACATGGTTGTTTGGCAAGAGCAGTGAATGAGAGGAGAAGAACGTATGTGACTGAAGACACATTTACTGTGTTGCCTTTCCATGGTTTATAGGAAGACACCACTTTACCTTATTTAGTTTTTACAGTAATCCTATCTATTAGCTATTTTTATACCCAACATATAGGCAAAGAAACTTAAGCTCAGCCATGTTGGAGGTGCTGGGACTCTTCTGGGTTTCCTGACTCCCACATCTACTTATTTTTACTAATAGACCTCATATGACCTCTAAGCTACAACAGATATACATTGGGTTTGATGCTGAAATTTAGCCATTTGCTTATTCTTCCACGTTATCCATCAATATATTAATATTTTTAATTGGGTATGGAATCTCATTTCTCTCACTTAAAACTATTAAGCACCAATTGAAGGCAGTCTTTTAAAAGTGCAAGCTTAATGCCTTGAAGCCTATGAAAAGGTTAAGAGAAAAGGCTTTGGCGCTCGTCTGCCGCTTACTAGGTATGTACCCTTTGGGCAAGTTACTTACCCTTTCCATGTAGGTTCCCCCTGTATGTGAAAGATAACAATAATTCCTATCTACAGGAATTATTGTTGAGAGGACAAGAAACTCACGGAGGACTCCAGTGCCTGGCTGAAGTAACAGCCTCTCAAAGTGTCTGCTGTTTTCACTCGCTCTTATGTACTTATTCTTGTGTCAACCTCTTGGACATTAGAGGGGATGGATGAAGGTTGAGGGAGCCTATTAAGAGTTAGTCGCTTCCAGAAACCTTCTCTCTCATAAACAAAACTTTCTCTGACCAAGTCTAGGGTCAAGCCACATATAAGACTGACTGTAAATACTACTACTTTCATTTCATATTAGAAAAACAAAAAATGGGGAGAAGAAGCCAGTTTAATATGGAATTCAGAGAGGGAAACTAAACCTGAAAATAAAAGGCAAGAAAAAAGAAAGCAAAATGAAATACAATTAAACATTTCCAGATACTTTGATATTCAGGATGATCACTTTAGTTGGAAAGTCTCCGAAATTCAAGAATGACTTTGCTGAAAACTGATGAGATTGCTCCTTACCTGATCAATTGAATGAAATTCTATCTTGAGGAATTAAAATAGGAAACTGCAGGCCCTAAGGTGGCAGGACCACAGCCAACTCTGAGAAAGAAACCTGGAAAACCAGAAGATAAGCACTTTAAGAACACCCTAAGATTTCGAAACATTTCAAAACTCTATTGTCTCCTTCATAGTTGTTTTTGTTATTCCAATAACATGAGAAATTGATTTTAGGTGGAGCTCCAGAATGTCTGTAATAAGTACTTAGAACATTTTGTTTGAAAAGGAATAGGATGGGAGCTCCAGATTCTTTAAAAATTAACTTTCATTTTTGTCAAAATAATGTAGGAAAAGTTAGCACAGTTGTGACTTTGTGTGTTTGGAGTGACAGGTAGAGCAGAGGAAGATTATGGGATAAATCCATCTCTATTGTGTCGCTCGCTCACCACTGGCATGGTCACTAGTTGGACTCTCAAACTATGTGCTTGTATAGTGAAGGGAGATGAAGAAAGCCAGCAGGCAGCAGAAGCCCAAGGATGAAATAGGAGTGCAGTTGCTAAGAAACCAAGGCTCGGGGATGCTGTCAGAAGGAAAAAAGATGCAGACGAGACTGAGCAAGTACATCGCAGCCCTGGGCTTGGTGATAAGAGAGCCCTGAGGATTCTCTTCAACTCAGCTCCAGATGAGCAGCTGATTAGCCTTTGCCCCTTTGAACTTTTGTCTAGAGACCTCACAAAAGTCTTCTGTGAGTAGGAGAGGGGATGTGGATTTGTGTTGTGGGTGGTGGAAAAATGCACTTGAGGTTTGTGGATATTTGATGGTTTGGCTTCAGCAACACAGTTGGAAGAGTCTGTGAATATGTATACTCTTAGATTGTTTTTACTTTACAAAGATTATGATCCTGGGTCTTCAGATGCTTGATTATTGAATGTGTGTTTCTGACCAGTGAGGGATGCAAAGTAACCAAGAAGTTAAAAGCATAATCTCTGGATCCCAGCCATTATTCTTTAATTTACTAGCTATGTGATATTGACCTAATCTAGCTATAAACAAAATGCGATACAAAATGAGGTGCTGCCATGTGGAGCATGGTAGGAAGAATAATTGTCCTCCAAACCAAAGAGGTCCACAGCCTCAGTACCAGAATCTGGGAATATGTTGCCTTACATGGGAAAGGACTTTGAAGATGTTACTAAGGTAACAGACCTTCAGATGGGGAGATTTTCCTGGATTATTCAGATAACTCATATCTAACCCCATAAATTCTTGAAAGGGAAGGTCAAAGAGATGCAGCATGAGAAGGATTTCACCTGCCCATTGCTGGCTACAAAGATGAGGAAGGGCTCCACTAACCAAGGAATGTGACGGCCTATAGAACTAGAAGTGGCCCTTAGTTTATAGCCAGACGAAAACATAGACATCAGTCCTACAACCATGAAGAGCTTAATTCTATCATCAACTTGAATTTTTCCCAACAGCTTCCAGAAAGTAACACAGTCTGCCAACACTTTGAGTTCAGTGAAACTTGTACCAGACTTCTGGTCTAGATAACTTTAAGATAAATAAATTTGTGTCATTTGAGCTACTCAGTTGGTGGTAATTTGTTATGGCAACAATAGGAAACTAATATAATCTACTCAAATATACACAAAGCAGCAACCAGACATGTAATAAGCATAAGTAGTCACTATTAGGCTTTGAAGATGGGATTGCGTTGCACCTCGCATCAAATGGTCCAGATTATAGTGATGGAGAGTCTGAAGGAAGTGGGCTAAAGCTTTCCCAAGTTACCCACTGATCTTCGCACTGCTGACAAGGATTACTACCTGTAAACTGGATGAAAATCCCTGTCCTTGAAAACAGCTTGGTGGTTTCAAGAGAAACCACCACCAAGTACATGAAACCCAATTTTTGCTTTGGCTATCTGAGCCACTGAGTTGTAGATGTCTAGTGGACATTTTAGAAGATAATTCAAAATCTCTCATAATCACACATACCATATACCATACAGTGTAAGTAGGCATTTTATATGTAATACACTAAAATATAATAAACTTATAAAACTTTTGTATATTTATATGATTTATATCTAACAAATTTGGAGTAATATATATATAGCATATGGTCATATATTTTGTGTCAACTTTGAAACCTCTTCTTTCAGAGAAGCTAGTTTCTGGGACAGAACATCAGTATAGATGCTGCCTATATTAGTGAGACGAGAAGAAGCTTTGTAAACCTACACATGCTCTAGTCCCATCCCAGAGGTTCCAGCTCAGTAGTAGGTCTGGGGTGATCCCCAAGAAGCTACATATGTAACAAGCTGTCCAAGTCTAGAGCAATTAAATAACTTCAAGGGTACCCAGAGTGCCTCTATGATAATATTTTGTGAGATTTCTGATCTCAAACTTTTTTAGGTAATAAGAGGTCCTGGCTAATTAGCTATCCTTCATGCTAGAATAGAGGGACTTACAATCATCCCACAATTTAGAGAAAAGGTGAAGCTCCTAGGAAGTGGCTTGGGTCGCATACCCACTAAGTAAAAGACTGAGAACTGGAATCCATGATGACATGACTCATTCATTCATTCAGCAAAGTGTTTACCACATTCCATGCTCTTTATTTAAAATTTAAAATTATGTAATTATAAATAAATATTTTCCTTATGAAATGTCTAATGACACATATAAAAGAAAACAGTCCTTCCCTCTCCTTCTCCAACCTTATGTTGCTTTTCAAAGGTCATCAGCTTGTTATTGGCTTTTCAAGAAAACATCCTATAAACTATACACAACATGCACAAATCAAATAATACTCATGTTTAAGCTTTTTAAAAAACATTAATGAGATGACAACACTTCCTTTGCCACTTAAAAATAAGCCAATGCACACAATCACACTATTGTTTTCAATTGCTGCATAGGCTGTATGTATCTGATATATGCATTATAACATATCTGAATTTATTTGACCATTTCCCATTGAATGGCATGGAGGTTCTTTCCACAATTTTTGCTATCAAACACACACACAAAATGCTACACTAAATATCTACAGGCATGATATCATTCCTCTAAGATGATTAGACATGCAGTTATAAGTCAAAGAGGATGAATGCTCCGGCCCTTTCTACACAGTTTTATTGAGCTACACAGAGGTGGGGAGAAAATAAAATTCCTTATCTTACAACTTTAGGTTCAACAAGAGGCAAATCCTAAAAAGCCTTCTTCCCTGGAGGTTGATGCCAAACATGATAAAGGCTGGCTAGTGCCTCTTACATGAGTATTAAGGTGCTTTTTACCATGGCAATGTCCTAAAGAGCTCCCCATCTTTTTATTACTGGTGTCTTCTTTGACTCATCCCAGTGGTATGACTTTGTCATGGCAGTTTCCTTCCATCAGCAGCAACTTCAATTCTCAGTCCTGATTCTGAATCTCCCTTGAAAATAGCCATCCCCAACCTTTTTTAGTTTTACCTTGCAGGGGAAATGATGACTGGCTCTCACATTCCCCTATGAACAGCACCTGCCTGCAGGGAGCAGCGGGCATACTACAAATGGAGATCAAGGGGAAAGAACCAGCCTGTGGAGCCTGTAAGAAGTCCAAGCTGCAGCCTGATGGGATGATGAGTAACTGAAATTGCCTGGTGTTCCCCTCCCCAACAGGTCACTGGGACCTTGATTTTCACAGTCTTTACTGCTGTGCTGGGTTCCTTCCAGTTTGGATATGACATTGGTGTGATCAATGCTCCTCAACAGGTACGTGAAAGTTCTGTCTGTGGTAGATAGCATATGTTCCTCATATCTAGAGATAAAGTGTGTCCACGTGGAGGACACGAGGTGATCCTGGCCTGTCCTGACACGCGCTGTTCTAAAGCTGATAGCTTGGCCTTGACTCTTCAGTTAACAACCACAAAAAAAGGTAATAAATGATTCTTAATCTGACTCTGCTGAGCTCATAGAAAACTCCAGCCAGAATATCACATGTCCCAGGATTTTTTTTTAAGAAAACAAAAGAGCTTACTGCAGCATTCATTCAGAGCTCTCAGCCATACATGAATGAAAAGTGCCAGGGAATAAGAGGAAATACTAGAAGGATCTGATTCACTCAGTGCACATTTATTGAGCACCTACTTATTTGCATCAGGTACTTTAACATATGCGCTATCCGACTGAATTCTCCCAACAGTTATGCCCATTCCCAGCCCAGATCAAAACCTTTCAGAGCCCTAACACTAAAAAAGACTGTGGTCCTTCCCCACCATTTCTGTTTCCCACAGGTGATCCAAAGTGAAATAATGCAGAACTTCAGGATAATAGCCAAGAAGTCCAGCAACATTTGAATTTTCTCCATTATGACTGTTTGGCAGATTTTATTTTTAAATAACAAATAACTTCAACCATTTTTCTCATTTTTGTTGTGCATCCCTATTCTGATAGTCAAAGAACAGACAGGAGACGTATGTTGTTCTCAGATCCCACAGCCTGTAAGTGGGGGGACTGGGAATTCATGCCCCCTCTGCTCTCAGACTGTGAGGTCATGGAGGACAGGACTGATGTTTTGTTCCTCTTCCCATCACCAGCGTCAAACACAGTAGTTGGTATAAAGAAGGTGCTCAATAAAATGTTTAAGCTGAATCTAAGTCTTGGCGGAATGCCTTGTGATCCTTCTGGAAGTGAGAGCATGGGAGGCTTGTGAGGAGCTGCTACAAGGCCACCTCCCACTCAGCTCCCTGTCTTCCCTAGAGGAGAGCAGGCTGGAAAACTGTTAGAGGACAGTTTCTTAGCACCTCCAGGATTCTGATGAGGTAAGAGGCTTTCTGCCTGATACCTGTCTCAGGGCACAGCTGCAGGCCCTAAAGCCACTTGGCTGTGGTTGAGAATAGGCTCCCCAGCAACAGGGCGGTCTATCATTTGTGTTGTCTTTTGGCCCCTTTTTTGGTATTGCCCTGCTGAAGGGCCATGGAGAGCTGGGGGCTTTCCTTTCACTATATTTGAAAGTAATAAACTATCCAAATCTTTTAAAAAAATGTTTAGTGAATGAAGGAGAGAGAGAGGAGAGAGAGAAGGAACCTGGAAAAGGAGTGGCATGAGGTGAAGGCACCAACATGTGTTGGGTGCCTTCTATAAATCCACCATATTTCCTCTGCTTCTTTCACAACACTGGACTCCAAGGAAAATGTGAGCTATCACAGGGTGTGAATGTGTGAAATGTATGCTGTCCACAATCCATCACCTGAAAAGGGCTGCTTTCTGGACTAAAACATGTGATCTAACTAGGTGCCACCCATCATGTATGGCAGGACGTCCCGTGGCTTAGAGATCCGGGGAATAATGCTGGGAGTTAGGAGACCAGGGTTCCTTTCTGTTTTGCTTTGTTTTATGGATGATGGCAACACATGCCAATTTAGTAGGCTTCCTAAAATTTAGTTCAGCATCATCATGACTTGATTGATTGAGCCCCTTCTCTTTGTGGAAGACCTTTCCTCATCATTGAAACTATCCTCTCCAGCCTCAGAGTGAAACAGGCTAACATCTCCCCTCCTTCAATGCAAGTCCCAGAGCCAGAGCTGAAAGCAGGGATGCCCTACTGGCATCCAGGTTAGTGCCCACTCTCCTTCTGCGTTTAACAAGTTGCTTAAGCACCATTAAATAAGACTGGTAATTGAGGCCCTTTTAAAAAATTAGTTGAGTAACATTTGGAATTATTTTAAGGGATTTTAAAATCACACTTTATGGTTATAAGAATTATGCATGCCTATTGCAGAAAGTATTTTTAAAAATCACCCATAATTCTTCTACCCCAATGAGCAAACTTCTGAGGATATTTTGAATGTTTCCTTTCAGTCTTTTTTCTATATATATTATCCACATAGGGTGGCCTTCTAATGAGGCAAATGTCATTCTTCTTTTTTTGAGTTGGAGTCTCACTCTGTCACCCAAGCTAGAGTGCAATGGCACACTCATGACCACCTCAGCCTTGACCTGCTGGGCTTAAGCGATCCTTCTGCCGCAGCCTTTCAAGTAGCTGGAACTACAGATGCACGCCACCATACTCGGCTAATTTTTGATTTAATGTAGAGACGAAGTCTCACCAAGTTGCCCAGGCTGGTCTCGAACCCCAGAGCTTAGGCAATCCTCTCGCCTCGGCCTCCCATAGTGCTGGGATTACAGGCTGAGCCACCGCGCCCAGCTGAGGCAAATGTCTTGGTAAGACTTCTTTTATGGTAACAGGATGCTCAAGCCTCCCACTCACTCGTCTGACATACAAAATAGGACTTTGCCATAACCGGTAACCTAGAGCAGCTGCCTTTCAGCTCCTTGTCAGAGAGTGTCCTCCCAGCTTATGGATGCTGAATAGCGTTCAAGTTCATCATTAAGAGGCATGATGGTGAAGGAAGACAGCATTTTACTCTGACAGCATATACTTTGGTGTGACATGTGCCGCTACTGGAGCACATTACAAAATATAGCTCTGTGAAACTTAGTTTTGAATGTTGTTTATTACACACTGAACTCTGTGAGGACCTACAAGAAAAACTTCCTTCAAGTCTCAATAGCTGGACAGGGCCACTGAGTTGTTTTTATCTTATGAATTCGTGAATCATATACTTGGCTGTTTTCTTCTCTTTGCACCGGCTGCTAGGATGTTTATTAGTAAATTTACAGCTTATTCCTAGGAAGGATATGACACCTAGCATTGGAATTGTATATGCTAACTTTATTTTTTTATTCTTATCTTATATTTTTTCTTATGCCCGTTTTTAATGCTTCTACTAAAGTATTTGTATAAGTCAATTTAAATCCTGCTGTGCAGAAGTAGCACTGGTATGAAAATGTATGCTTAGCTTATAGAATATTATAGCTTATATTAAAGCTTATAGAATATTTTCAATTTCAATAGTTGCAGACAGCTAAAATTTGAAAAAATTTACATAAAATCCCAGATTTCTGGCTCTGTTAAAATTTAAAGGTCATCCAACACCAGCCTCACATCTGCAACTTCCTCCTTAGGTGGGAAATGTTCTGCAGTTCCACAGCCCTGACCACTCTCCACTATATCCTAATACTAGAGACTGTATTTCAGGCTTCTAGTCATCCAGGTACTCCATGCATGCCGTCTTCACTTTGTTCCTGCCTGGTTCTTGTCGGCAGCAGACTTTATTACCTCTGTTTTATAGGGTATGGTCAACTATAATGAAATCTATCCATAGCCGGGCTCGGTGGCTCAGCCTGTAATCCCGCGCCTTGGGAAACTGAGGTGAGTGGATTGCCTGAGCCCGCGGGTTCGAGACCCGCCTGGGCAACTTGGCGAGACCTCATCTCTACAATAAATAAAAAATCAGCCGGGTGTGGTAGCGTGCGCCTGAAGTTCCAGCTACTTGGAAGGCTGAGGCGGAAGGATCGCCGGAGCCCAGCAGGTCGAGGCTGCGGTGGCTGGGAGCGGCCATTGCACTCCAGTCTGGGCGACACAGTGAGACTCCAACTCAAAAAAATAAAAAAATAAAAAAACACAAAAAAACAACAAACAAAAAGAAATCTATCCATGTTTGTATGTGTATAACACACACAATTGGGATGGCACACCTAACAAACGCTTTAAAGGAAAGACTAACAGAAACATATGGAATTTGAAATATTGAAGCTCTTTTTCTTTATTTCCTCAGATAATAATATCCCATTACAGACAGGTTTTGGGTGTTCCACTGGATGACCGAAAGGCTGTCGGCAGCTATGCTCTCAACAGCACAAATGAACTGCCCACAATCCCAATGCACCCAACACCAACCCCTTTGGCTGAGGAATTAACTATGGCATCTGCTAACCTAATCACCATGCTCTGGTCCCTGTCTGTGTCCAGTTTTGCAATTGGTGGAATGATTGCATCATTCTTTGGTGGGTTGCTTGGGGATATGTTTGGAAGGTAAGTATGTTTCACAAATAAGCATAAACACAAAAACTTTAGTTTTTGGTTTTGTTAGCATTTGTTTAGAAAAATATCATTTTTTCTTTGTGTGTTTTAGAGTTGTTTTTTTCAACTCACGACCCTATGAGGCAGGTCATTGCTAGAGCAAATCAGTGTTAAAAGCTGTTGCAACAGTCTGATTAATTGTTCAGACACTTACGGCAAAAATGAGTTTAGTATGACTTTGTAGATAATTGCTTTGGTTCTTTGACTTTGTACATTATAAAACATATTAGAAAATTACTGTAGAGTAGTTAACTCAGGAGCTCAGTAGAGGAGTGTAGATTAGAAGTTTTCACCTGGGAGTCCATTTTTTGCTTCACCAAATCACATCATTTCTCAGACATTCAGTTTTTCATTTGTAAATTAGAATTTGACATTTGGATCTGTCAAGTCCAAAGGTTCAGTCAACATCCCCACTCCCAGCTGCCCAGTGTGGTTTCTAGCTGCTGCTGCTATCTCAAAGCCCCAACCAGGTATGAAGCAAGAGGAATTTCCATTTCTCAACTTCAGTTTCTAGTAGGGGTTTGGGATTAAAAACACCAATAGAACTTCTTACCCTCAAATTTTACTTAGTCATGGTACATACTAAAACTGTTGCAATTTCCCACTGTAAATACAGAGAAAATAAAATCATAATATCAAATGATTACTGATTTAGATTTATTTTCTACTCTTTGAGCCCAGCTTTTGTGTATTACCTTTTTGTTTTCATGATTAAAAAATGCCAAATATGACAAATTTAGAAAATAAAATACCTTTAAAGATGTAAATAACAATATAGACAACTAGCTTACTTCTGAGTTATAATTCATTTGGTTTGTCTAATTTCTCCTACAATTTATAATATTTAGTTCTCTGGTTATTAAAATTCTGAGAACTCTTCCTCTTATACTGCAGCTTTTATATAACATGTCTATAAGAAATTTTCTTAACTAAAGGGTATCATAGTAACCTAAGTTTAATTATTATTGTTATTTGAAAAGGAGTTTCCTCTTCCATAAAAGAAAATGATCAATTTACTTATGTTTAGTTAAACTTTTTTTTTTGTATTTTAATCTTTAATGCTGATCTCTGTATTTGCTTTCTTATTAATTCTTACAGAGTATTTTCCAGAGACAAAAGCAAAAGATAAAAGTGTATTAAAACACTTGTTATTTCACTTCATTCTTTCATGAGATTAGAAACTATATTTGATGGCGTTCTCTTGTACAATTGTGAGTTCTTATTTTCACAAACTATCTCCAGTAATCTTGTACAAGAATACTGGCTAGAATAGTTTAACAGTACTTATGAATGTTGACTTAGAAGTAAACTGCAAAACTACTATGCATGATTTTATAGCAGAATGGTCTCATTTCTTCTTTTGGAATAATGAGTGACAATTATGATGACATCTGTGTCCTGATGGAGTTTGTAATCAGAATCTATAAAATACAGATTTAATAAACTGAATTTTATCATTTAAAACATTTAAAAATCACTCAGTATTAAATTGCTTAAAGTAGTATATGGAGAATTTTCTAGGTGAATTATTTTTAAAGTAAATCAAATTGGCAAAATTAAATTAAATTTTGATGTATGAACAAATCAATTATTTTAGCAGCTTACAGATATATTATGCTATTTCTTATTCCCAAAGAGAAAAATTTAAACCTTGCTGCCTCTCACTCAGAGATGAGAGTCCGACAGGTCTAGTAACTTACCCTAAAATAATGAATTAGTATCCTAGTAATGGAGTTGGGATGCATCTTCTCTGAAGTCTTAAGATTTAGCATCAACAATGGCTATACCCCCAAAAGACCATATGTCAAGTGATCTATGGAAGGCAAAAAGTGAGGCTTCTTCTAGTTCTCAGCAGAATAATGTTCCTCCTTGGAAAAAAAACCCCACAAAATTAATAACTTCACCTTCAAAATTAAGACAAATGTGTTTGGTATCTCCCATAAAATTTTTTTTTCTAGAAAGATTCATTGAGAAATAATAAAATTTTTCTCACAGTAAGGTCATTTCTCTATCAGTTAAAAGTAAATAAATTGTATTGCTTCCATTATTGCTTTTAAAAAAATCTTTCCTTGCAATTGTGTGTAATAGTCAATATACGTTTGTGGCCACCATTTTATAGTTTGGGGTTTGCATGGTCAATTTTTCCAAGCTGTGCATTTATAATTTAATTGCAAGGCTATGGTGGGGAGACTCTGGTGTAATCCACAGTATCATGAATACAGGAAGCTACACATAGCTTGTCTTTGAACGTGCACATTCTTTTCCATCAACATGGAACTCAATGAGATGAAGCATTTACCTCTGATTTCACACAAGTCAAGTCCCAGCTCTGCCATGTAATTACTGTATGAAAACGTGCAAGTTTCTTAAGTTCTCTAAGATGTTTTTCATCCCATCTGCAGTGTGGGAAAAAAATAAGCCCTACCTCATGGCATTATTGTGAGAATCAAATGAAAGCCAAGCATAAAGGATTTAGCACAATGCCTGGCACATATTAAGTAGACAGCAAATGCAGCCTTACTGTGACAATGGTGATGATGATGATGACAGCAACAATGATCAAGCCTATGTTAACAGAAGCATTGAGAGACAGAGTTAAAGAAACATACTTAGGTAGAATTAAGTTTCTCTCTCCCTGGTTCAACTATTTCAGGCATCTGAACAGAAGTAAAAAATTTAAACTGCATAAAGTGCTCCAGCATCCATTGTTTGATGACAGAGAAGAGGGACTTTTTGAGCAATCGGGCATCGCAAATCCTTCCAGGCTATTTCTTTTATGGTTTTTAACCTTTTCTCTTCCTAATAAAAGGCTGTTAACTAGCTGGTAACAGCTTCTTAAGGTGAATTATTGAGTTTGCCTGTCCTCTGTCCCTGTGTGGATGAAAACCATCTCACAGTATTCTGATCGGACAAACACCCCAACTGCCTGCTATGCAGCTCTGCAGCTAGCCAGCTCCTAGATCACTCTTTTCTCTCCTTTAGGTAATTGATAATTTCATCACATTGGTTTCATACTGCTGCTGTAATAAATTATCACCAATGTGGTGCCTCAAAACAACATAAATGTATTTTCTTGCGGTTTTGGAGGTCAGCAATCCAAAAGCAGTTGTAATTGGCTAAAGTCAAGCCAATGGGCCGATTCCGGTGGCTCTGAGAGAAGAATCCACTCTTTGCCCCTGTCCAGCATTCAATGGCTGCCTGTAGTCCATGGCTTGTGGGCACTGCCTCCATGTTTGAGCACAGCACTCTGATCTTCTGTCATCACATTGCTTTCTTCTCTTCTGCCTTACTCTTATAAAGACATTTGTGATTCCATCATTAGGCTCACTTGAATAAGCCAAGATAATCTACCCATCCCAAGGTTCTTAATCACGTTGGCAAAATCCCTTTTACTAAATAAAGTAACATTGACAGGGTCTGAGGATTAGGATGTGGACTCTTGGGGGACATTACTCAGTCTATTAATGGCTGTTGGGCAACCATTGCAATATGAGTTTATATAGTTTTACTCTCCAGAAAAAAAAAATCTGTTTGGTGTTAAAATGCTTGCTTGGGAAAATCCCACCTTTCAAAGTTTGAAACATTGAAATAGAATATAACCAGGAGTTTACATTTGTGGCATTTTCACACCTGTCCACTCAGATTCTTTTATTGGCCTTATCATTTTCTGCTTAACTTTGACAAAGGTTTTGTGTCCCTCACTTTCCCATTAAATAGAAATAAGAGAAATAAATATCTCAAACGTTGTCAAGTTTTATATGACTAGGTTTAAAAATGAAGTTTTTGTTGCTATTGTCAGCTTTATTATGTATTTTACATTGGCTGATATTAATTTACAGATTCTGAAAAGATGCTGGCATGTGATATTAAAATAAGATAATACAATTCTCTATGATAAACTTAAAGGAAGAGTATGTTTTAATTTGCTTCCAAATAATTTATACAAAGGAAAATTTGACTTTGAAAGTTCCTTTCCTAACTACATCAACTAAAAATCTTTCCATTGAAAGATTAAAAAAAGAAAGAAACAAATTGTAGGTTACAACTACATAAATGAATTTAGCTATTTCTAGACAACTATTCTTGTAGAAAACTTAGCTAACTCTTTGAAAAAAATCTTAAATAAAACTAATCATCACTGTGACTGAATTATTTCTATCAAAATATGGTAATCAGATGGATGCAACCCAGGTTCTCACATCATATAAATATTGCTTATGTTAATACTGCTAATACTTTATTTAGTCTATAAACGAGTTGGATTAGCAATCTTGGTTCAAAATTCTTGATCTAGATTTTTCAGCAAAATTAAAATAATGACTCCTAGGTAAAAATCCTAACATGCTCCGAAAGCAAATACTTTTATCAAGTTTTGGTGCTGGATTTATAATCCTTGTTTTTTAAAATTTCAGAACAAAAGCCATGTTGTTGGCAAACAGTCTCTCATTAATTGGAGCTCTCTTGATGGGCTTTTCAAAAATGGGACCATCTCATATACTTATAATTGCAGGAAGAGGTATATCAGGACTCTACTGCGGTAAGTGACACTGAAACACACACACACACACACACACACAACACACACACATTTGTTTGAAAATAACTCTAAAGGCAGATGTGGCAACATGCAAGGATATTTTTGAATCTAGGATGACATCACAGAGGAAAAAGTGACGGCATAAAGTTGAGGTCCTGAGTCAGGGGGATTTGGGACCAGTAAGTAGGAATTATGATGCTATCTAGTTTCTTGTCCACTGTGATGACATCATTTTTAGTTGTATGACCTCTGACATATTATTTAACTGACTCAGTTTCTTCATCTATTAAATGAAGTAGGTGATAATATCTACTTTATAGGGTGATTGTGAGAATGCATGTAACATGTTCAGCATAGAATCTGACATACAGTGAGCTGCAATAAATGCTAACTGTTGTTATTACTTTTGTGGTATAACAGACAATGGAAGACTGCTACACCTGGACCCAAACTCTGTCCTTAGGGCCTACCTGGCTACTATGTCTCCATTTCTCATATTTGGCAAGACCTTGACACCCTGAAACTACCTTTTAGACCACCACATTCCCTAGCCCTGTCTGATTCTGGACATGGCTAGGGGAAGTGGTGGTATTCATGGGGAGAGAGAATCAGATAAAAACAGTTGACAGAGCAGTTCAGAATGGAAGAAAGATGCTCCTCCTGTAAACTTTATTCTGAATAGTGGGACTCACTAGTTCTTAGAGACAGCCTCACAAACTTTCAGAGACAACTAATTATTGTAGGTCTGAACAAAGAGGAGATCATTCAATCTCTAAAACAAATGACCAAATCGTTGTAACTTCTGCCGATGAAGTCCTGATTCTGATGGTGCTAGGCTGAAGTTTTAACTCATTTCCATAATTTGTAGTTGCCTTTCAAGGCACAAATATCCACTGGGGGTGGAGAAACAGTGATAAGAACGGGCACAGAATTTGCATATAAAGTATTTTTAACGCTTTTACATCCAGAAAAGGCTCCAGTGTCTTTAATGATCCGTTGAAGCCAAAGTCCAAAATACCCACAAGTTAATACATAATTAAATCTCTGTTCATTATTTTCAGTTTTAATACAAATAACTGAAGGTTAGGGTAGTTTTATCAAGGTCAAGAGTCAACTGCACACATGGAAAGAGTTTTGGATTCAGAGTGAATCAATTCTGGCACTGTCTCTGCATGGCCTTAAGTATTAAATCTGAGCCTTAGTTTCTTTTTTCCATAAAATGCAGTTAATAACACTATGAAGGAGTTCCAAATTGTGATTATTTCTTCTTTTCTCTCCATTTAAAAAAATACAGTATGAAAAAAATAAAATATTTTTGGTAAAATTAAAAACAAATTCTATAAACACATCATGAAACAACCTATAACCAGAATAGCCAAATAACTGTACTCTCCAACTATCTTCTAAAATTATGTCTGGCTCTATTCTGAGCATTAAAGTTGCTAAAAAGTATAGAAAATATAATTTGACTTCAGGTTTGTGTGACTTCAGATCTATGAGCTTATCTACATTATTCTGTTCACCTGTAATATTCAGCAGAACTATAGAAGTCATATGACCCATGTAAATATTTGTTTGAGATATTAAGAAAATTTTGAAGCTTTAAAAAATATGTATTGAAAACAGTTGCCAAAAACATCTTTTACACAAAGACCATTCATTTCTCTCTTTTTTTCATTGTAGGCACATCTATACTTTTAAAAACAAACAAAAAAGTGGAACAACCCAAATATCTAACAGTAGCAAGACCATTCATTTCAATTTGATAGACAGACAATCTCTAAGAGGAAGCCTCTGACAAACTTTATCTTTAAGTCATTGAGAAAATAATGCTGAATGCAGGCTTAACTGTTGATAGTTTCTGACCTTTTTATGCAATCAGCAAGTGGATGGACATTCAACTATTTCTAACATGACTGATTAATATGTATTTAAGAAGCCTTCAGAAGGCAGAATGACCTGGTGCTTTTTCTTTTCTTTTGTATTTCTTTGAGCACCAAAAGTCTTTCTTGAAATAAAATCTTTTCTAAAGTCTAATATTTGGGTATAATAAAGCTGGGTTGCTCTGGTTGGACTAATTGGGGGAGCAGTCCATGACATCTTTAACCTCTTCCCTCTCTCTGTACCCCCCTCATTACAACCTTAAGGGTGATTTTGAGGACCCTCTACATTGTGGAAATTCAGATAGGACATGTAATTCTCATGCTAATGCTCTATTGTACCATGGTCTCATCTCATCGTTTCTCATCTCTATCAAGAAGTTGATCCAGACATGTTCTAATTTCCCTTAATCCCATGAGGTTAGATTAAGGATATTATTAAAACACTGTTCAGTTTCTTTTCTGAAGACAATTTAAGATATGAACTAAAATTACCATGAATTTTTAAACTAAGAAAATGTGATGAAGAATTGCCAAGTATATGACTAATTATTTCTTGCTATTCATACTTCCAACTACGACTACATGTGGGGTTATATCAACAAACGTCCCTTGCATAAATTATGTCTATGCCTAGGGACAAGAGCTCTTCCTTCCAATGAACTCAGGAAGGGACTTTCAGCCAGCATATTCACAGTACTTTAGCCAAGTTATTACTATTGAGGTGGTCCTGGCTGCACGTTAACGTTCATGTTCATGTTTCATGCAGGGCTAATTTCAGGCCTGGTTCCAATGTACATTGGTGAAATTGCTCCAACCTCTCTCAGGGGTGCTCTTGGCACTCTTCACCAGCTGGCCCTTGTCACAGGCATTCTGATTAGTCAGGTAAAACTCCCACGCCCTACTGCACCAACCTACCAACCCTACTGCACTTCTGCTGTTGCATCCCCCGCTGTACTTCTCTACGTCAGCCCCTCTCCCACCCCGACTGTTCACTCTCACTGGAGACTGGCACAGAGGAAAAAGACAGCTCCGCCAGTAGTCGTGGAAGGGGTGTAGAGACACAGGCTCTTTAGCCCAGAGGTGAACTATCAGCACTCCTCACATTCCCCCTTGGAGTTGGTGGTAGGAATAGCACCGGAGGGGACCTGGTAAGCCAAGGTTCAAATTCTAGAGCTAGTCTAGAATTATTCTATTTAGATTCCAAGAAATAGGACATCAAGTTTTTGAATGTCTGAGTTTCCTTTGTTTTGAACACTTTACCTGGGATCATGATGCATAAGTGGTAATCACAGGAGCTCTTCTTGAGCTGGGTCTATCCTTCCCTTCTGCCCTGTGGTCTCAGAGGGAGTCCTTGGACCCCATGCCTGTGACAGTCCAGAAGGTAGTCTGTAAAAAAAGCTAGTGCTCATCAGAGTAATTTTTCCATCTATGGAACCCCACTGTATTTAAGTTCTGGGTAATCTAAGAAGGAATTTTCAAGGAAAGGTCCAAAGCTATGTATGATTTTAATACAGAATTATTGTATCTGGTTGCCTGGGGACTACAGCCACGTGTTGGTTTGAAGATCAAAAATTTTTTTAAGCTTGATTGATTCCCATCCTAAATATCCAACTGAAGTTAATGAAAATAAACCTAGGTGAATTCTTTGTAAAAGAAATAATCCCAAATTTAGTTAAGGTGAGAAACAGTAGTAATAGTTGTCATCTTGTGCTTATTGGGACCAAAGTTGTCAGGTATTGTGATTAAATAGCCAATGTACCTTTCAGCAAATCTTTGTAGAAAGCAGACCCAAAATGTTGTGAAGCTGACATGCTTCCTCCCTTCATTCTCAGATTGTTGGCCTTGACTTTATCCTGGGCAGTTATGATCTGTGGCATATCCTGCTTGGTCTGTCTGCTGTGCCAGCCACCCTCCAATCTCTGCTACTCGTCTTCTGTCCAGAAAGTCCCAGATACCTTTACATCAAGTTAGATGAGGAAGTCAAAGCAAAGAAAAGTAAGTCTGAGGGCGGTGTTCATCCTTCCTATTGTTTTGGCATTACCACCTAATACAAAACAAAACAGGGTGCATGAATGGTTGCATGTGAAATCAGTATCAGAGCTTTCCAAATGAAGTCAGTGATTAAATGCAGGGTGACTGTGCAAGATCACTTTAATTTGACTGGTGTATGCCGTTTTGTACCCATACACATTTACTTGAGCCCAAACCAGAAATTCAGAGGCAAGGTACTAGACTCAGCCAGAAACTTCTTTTAAAAAGAGATCATTAACAATAATGTATTGTGTATATATATATTTATATTTTTAATTTTAATTTCATTTTAGATTTGGGGTACACGTGCATGTTTGTTGCCTGGGTTAATGCACACTGGTAAGGATCAGGCTTCTAGTGTACCCATTACCCAGTTGTACACAATAAGTAATTTTTCAATCCTCACCCCCCTTTGACCCTCCTTCCTCCACTTTTGGCAGCCCAGGGCCTATTGGTTCCATCTTTCTGTCCATGTGTACTCATTGTTTAGCTCTCACTTATAAGTGAGAACATGTGGTGTTTGGTCTTCTGTTTCTGAATTAATTCACTTAGGATAATGGCCTCTAGCTCCATTCACGTTGTCGCAAAGGACATGATTTCATTCTTTTTGATGGCTACAGAGTATTCCATAGTGTATAGATGCCACATTTTCTTTATCCACTCAACTGTTGATGGTCACTTAGTCAACCAGAGGTTTCTAAAAGATCCTTCGAACTGTGATAATGAGGATTATAGCTTTCTTTGTCATGAGATGCTATTTTTTTTAAATCAAAGAGCAGGATGTAATTTGACAACAACAAAATTCCAACACCCGTGCTAAATGAATTTATTTTTGTTTTGGTCTGAGTTGTTTCAACCTGATCATTTTGGGGGACAGGCTTGAAAAGACTCAGAGGATATGATGATGTCACCAAAGACATTAATGAAATGAGAAAAGAAAGGGAAGAAGCATCGAGTGAGCAGAAAGTCTCCATAATTCAGCTCTTCACTAATTCCAACTACCGGCAGCCTATTCTAGTGGCCCTGATGCTGCACATGGCTCAGCAGTTTTCTGGGATCAACGGGGTAAGTTTAAGAATACCCCTAAAGTGAATTATGATAGGGAGGGCAAGAGGTATACGTTTAGTTAGCTAGAAGGCATTTTTAAATGTTGACATCACATCTTACTACAACAAATATAGTTTAAGTGAGCATTCATTTTCTTTGTTTTGCTTCAACAGCTTTCTAAAGGTAGTTTACAATTTTTAAAAATGACGACATTGGTATTAAGACAAAGGCAAAAAATAAATACAAGGAGAAAAAAGAAGACAAATTGTACCCCTCTCTTCAAAAAACAACAACTACTACAAAATTGCAAGGGTCTTCTGGAGCTGAGTATCAAATTTAGGATTTCTGATAGCCTGGGCAAAAAGGAGTCCATGGTTCCCTTTATCTATTTAAACGAAGGGTACCAGATAGCCAAGTGCAAAAAGCAGTTTCCTGCCATCCAAGAAACTTTCACTCCATTTGAGGAGACAGCACACAAAATATACAACAGAGTGAACTGGCATGATATTGATAAGTGAAAGTGGCAGATAAGACGTGGTTGAGAAACCTACTGAGTATTAAACTAGCTGGCCTTTGAAAGGAAAACTCCACATCAGGCAGACTAAAATGGTTTTGCTGTCAGTAAGAGGAAAAAATGAAGCATTTGTTAAGAAACTAAGGAAAGAAAATCACTCATCCTCTTTTTGTTGTTAAAAATGTAACTTGGGCTTCTGCTATTGCAAGCCAATCCCAGATCCACAAAGGCCATCTTTGGGGTGACTGATGGATGGGCAGACAATTGGAGAAGGCAGCCAATTCCCATCGGTTGAAGCCAAATGAGACCTCAACCTCCCTCCACAAACTCTGCTGTGGCCCCTGTCTTCATTTAAGAGTTCACTGATGTTCATTCTTACTAATACTCTGTATAAGTTTCGGGCTTAGAAGCCAAAATTGGTATCCCCTGCTTCTGCTTTCATATATCCAAAGCACAATACTTAATCTCTCTGAACCTCACTGCTTCAGCTTCCATGCCTGACTTAAAGAAGCATCCAGGAAAGGTTGAGCCTGTAAACAACCGGATGGTGTGCAGCCTGTAAACAATGGGACAGTGTGCTGTATGCCCCTACTCATGGTCTGCAGGAAGAGATGCCAGCAGCAGGACACGTTAGGTTGGGAAGGAGTGACAGAGGATGACCACAGAATGACCTAAAAGACTACTATAAATATGTAAACATAACTACATCGAAAAAGGCTATCTGGGAGGTTGTGAAACAGATTTCTCCATCTCTACTGAAACTAGTGAAAAATGTTGCATTAAATGCATTAGCAGCCAGAACTCTCATACATGCTAGTGAGGCTGTAAAAATGTCATTACTTCTTTAATAAACTGCTTGGCAATATCTGTTAAAGCTGAGCATACGCATACACTGTGGCCCAGTAATTCTATTCCTAGGAATAAATGTGTATGTACGTCACCAAAAGGACTGCACTAGAATGTTCTTAGCAGTACTATTCATAATCACCCTAAATGGCAGCTACCTCCTAATCAATAGCAGAATGAATACACTGTGGTATATTAATACAAGAAAGTGCTGTCTATGAATACACACAATAAGGATGATTTTCACAAAGGTGATGTTGATCAAAAGAAACCAGACACAAAATGACACACATTATGTGATTACATTTGCATTAAGTACAAGGGTAGACAAAATTTATATCCAATGTCAGAGGGCAGAAGAGCAGTTTCCTCAGCACAAATGATAAAGGGACCTATGCAAAGTTTCTGGAGGCTAGAGATGATTTATTTCTTGATATGGGTGCTGTTTTCACAGGTTTGTTCAGTTTATGAAAATTAATTGAGCTTATGATATGTGTACTTTAGTATATAAGTTACACTTTAACAAAAAGTTTAAATTTGTTTAAATAAAGATGCAGCAGTAGAGTTTTGAGCTAAATATAAAGAGAACCTTTAAGCAATCGGAAGCTTTAAACACCGAAGAAAAGCGGTGAGTTTTCCTTCTAGGAGAACTTTAGAAAACTCTAGAGACCATAGTTCCATAAAAATAGCTAAAAATAAGCAACCTAAAATATTTCTTACTTTAAAGACATCAGTGCCAGACTTCTTGATTAAGGTTAACCTGTTTTTATTTTGCAGATCTTTTACTACTCAACCAGCATTTTTCAGACAGCCGGTATCAGCCAACCTGTTTATGCAACTATTGGAGTTGGTGTTATCAATACGGTTTTCACTGCTGTCTCTGTAAGTCAATATCCTAGATAAATACTTTGTTCCTTGGTCCAGAAGTAGTGTAAAAAACTTGTGATCTAAGAGCGGTCAAAGACTATGTTAGCCACACACTCTAGGTGTGTAGAACCAAGTGGTTCATGGGAAGAGTCCTGTTTGAAGCCAACTATTGCATTGAGATTAGTCCTGAGAAGGTGGATCATTGACTCTCTTTGTTGCTGAGATGCCATTTATTCTCTCATTTGTGAATTAATAACTCCCATGGGGGCACAGAGGACCTCCTCTTTGTGCAAACCCCTGGGTTCCTTCTTTTCTCTGTATTTATCCTGTCCTCCCACGGTTGAAGTTCTTTTTATATCTTGATATCTTAAAACATACTTTAAAAAATTAAACAAAGTCCTCTGTACTGACATGTAAGCCCCTAAGCCAAGTTAAATAGACTCAGCCAATTCCTATGATGTCAGACCACTTGGCAAAATTTCCAGGTAGCTCAAAAGGTTATGGCTTCTGGTGACACGCAGGAGTAGTGTGCTATCAGGAGAGGATGGGTTACAAGTGGTGTAGAACCAGACATGTTACTGGGGGCTTTTTTCTTTTGTTTTTTTCAACAAAAGGGAGGTCATATACTCTCCTTAAAAGCAAATAACTATGTAAGAACTGATTCAACTATAATAGCATAATAATCTAAGAAATAAAGTAAACAAATAACAACAAAGACAAAAACTTCCCAACTAATGTAATTTACCTGAAAATGAGAGTAATTGGGCTTATTTTTTTATCTTTGAATACAGGATGTTCAAAAAGCTTATGCTTTCCAATTTAGGTCACAATATTTTACTCAATATGTTTTAGTCACTTGTTTTTTATTCTCTGCAAATGGACTCTTAACTATTACCTAAGAGTGATCAATAAACTGCACCCTGGCTACCTAGAGCAAAAGGCAGGTTTGTTCACACCACATTAAACAGTGCTGGACCTTGGAAAAAGCAGGTAAAACAGATAACAAGGGAATAACAGTGGTTCTGTAGACATGCCTTTAGAGATAAGGCCTGTTCAAACCAAAAGGCCTCTGTAAATCAATCAAGGTCTGTTCCTGAAATTTAGTCAAAGGACTAGTTGCCCTTTTGTCTCCTGGAGTCATTTTTACAAATCTTAAACATATTTTTTATAATATAGAGGTTATTATTAAAACTTTTTATGTTTAATAGGATTTTCTATGTAAAGCATCAAGTTGTCAAGAATGAGTAGCCAAAGTCCAAGGAAACTTCTGCAGAATTTTATTCTTGCAACCTGTCCCAAACTCCACTGATGTAAGAGGAACTGTTTTATTTAAGATTGTGTCATAATTATTTTTGAATATGCCTTCTTAGAGTTAATCCTTTTATTCTGTGCAAGTTTTGAACAATCTAGTGACATAATTTTAAAAATCAGTTCTAATCATTTATTAAGCCTCCAGGAGTACAGGTCACATTTTAAATTTTTAATTATACTTCTTTTTTAAAAGTTGTTTTAAAGTTCAAAAAGTACAAAAAGGATAGTACTTTAGTAACCCATTTTCTCCAAAATTAACCAGTGTTACCAAATTCTGTGTGTCTTTCCACATAAAAATAAGCAAATAGGAATATGCACTGAATATATTACTGTTTACCAACTTGGAAGACGCATTCATTAATTTTTTTCTGAATGAGTGTTTGGGAAAAGAGAGACTTTTCCAACTCCACACTGAATCATGTGCCATATTTTCTTTCATATGAATGGACTGGTAAAAGACCACAATCTTGAAAGCAACAAATAAAACAGAACTGTGAAGGGATCTGGGAGGCAGAATGATGCTGGGAGAGAACCAGTGGCTACCAGACTCCAGGGTTTGAGTGAGGCACACAGTCTGGGGCAAAGATGAGGGTGATGGTTCAAGAGACATCTCCAGGTACTGCCCATGTCAAATCTCTTGTCACACCCTTCCTGGACTTCAGGAGAGACTCTGACTCAACTTCCAACACATGCAGTCTTAGAGTTTATTATCCAATTAATAACAATTTTTTTTAGAAACAGAATAAACAGATATAGTAGAAAAACTTATCTCTGAATAAATTCTTCTATTTTCTTGATAGCTTGGTCAAGCCAGTTTTGAATGTCATAATTAAAGAGTGAAGACAGAGAAATTTTATGAACTTCAGAAAAATGTGTTTTTCCTACTTCCTTCTCAACAATTAAATGTGTGCCCTTGTCTTATCATCCTATCTAAAGTGATCTGAAACTCTGATATGAATGTGTCTCTGAGATGAAAGAGTAGGTGAAAGTAAATATTTCTCAGGTATGTTCAGAGCCAGAGCTCACTGTTAGATTGCCAATGATTTACTGATAAGATTGATGAGCTAGCCAACTTATTCACCAAGGTGAGAAATTATGGCAGGTAGCTTTGTGAAGTGGGGAGGGAAATGACTCATCAGTTGTGGCAGTATTCCAGGGATCAGGCAAGGGTGTATTTGACGCATTCTCAACTCTCATCTTAGCTAACTGTAAATCTTAACCTCTAATACAAGGGTCCACAGAATTAAGGAACCAATGGCAAATCTCCTCAAATGGGGTAAGATAGAATTGTAATTCCTTGTTTCAAAATCTTATGTTTTTGAACAAATAATTTGCTCCTAGTACCACGTACATTTAAGAATACCAGAAAAATGCAGACCTGACTATTTTGGTATAATGATCGATTTCTGTATGCTGCGAAAGGTGAGTGGTTGTAAGAGGACTATATTAAACAGTGAGAAAATTGAATAAAAATCGTTGACACCTGAACAATTATACTGTTTCAGATGTCAGTAGTGCTCAAACCGTTGTAATTATAATTTAGGATGATTTTCAGAAAAGATATATTTAAATGTAGAACCTTCACATTCTAAATTACAGGAAATCAGGCTGGGTACGGTGGCTCAAGCCTGTAATCCCAGCACTTTGAGAGGCCAAGGCGAGAGGATTGCCTGAGCTCAGGGGTTCAAGACCAGCCTAGGCAACTTGGTGAGACCTCGTCTCTACAATAAATCAAAAAATTAGCCGGTCTTGGTGGCGCAGGCCTGTGGTTCCAGTTACTTGGAAGGTGGAGGCAGAAGGATTGCCTGAGCCCAGCAGGTCAGTGCTGCGGTGGCTGTGAACATGTCACTGCACACTCCAGCTGGGCAACAGAGTGAGACTCTGACTCAAAAAAAAAAAAAAATTACAGGAAATCTATTTAGAGAGATTCAAGACATATGGTCTCTGAATATTGTACACAAGTGACACTCCTGGAATAGTGACAGTGTTATGGTTTTATCCCTAGAGTGGTTCTATCTCTATTCCAATCAATGTGACTAAATTAAGCAGGTATTTGTTTATTACCCCTGTTCACTGAGACTAACTCAGCTACCAGGGGATAGAATCACCCCCTACCTCAGCCTCATACTGGTAAAATGGAATAATAGAATTGCTGCCCACTCTCTGTATAAATTAAAATGACAGTAAAAATGATTTATATGAAAGCTCAATATTTTGTGATTCATAAAACTGAGGTGATATTCTGTAAAATGTTCCCAGGTGTTCCTTGTGGAGAAGGCAGGGCGGCGCTCCCTGTTTCTGATTGGAATGAGCGGGATGTTTGTCTGCGCCATCTTCATGTCAGTTGGACTCGTGCTGCTGGTAAGTTTGGTGCCTGCTCTGAGATTTTGGGTTACCAGTTTTGGTTATCACATGACAGCACCTCTGTACTCCAGGTTAAAATACTTTGCATGTCAAAAATATTTAGGATTTACTTATGAAATAAAGTCAGAGAGACGGCATAAAATACAAAAGAGAACTACAAAGCAAAGGGGAACTAGTTTCTTGGGCTTAAAGACTAAATATCAGCATGTAAATGGTGCTTGTTATCTAGGGAGGCTGTGTAGCACATGGTTAGAGCATAGTGATACAGATTTTTCAGGTCAGCCTAGGCTTCAGGAGTGTCAGCTCAATGGGTTGGCCAGTTGAGCCCCAGAGAGGGTCAGCTCTAATGGGCTGGCAAGCCAAACCCTGAGAGTGTTACTGATTCGGTGGGCTGGCAAGCCTAGCTCCCAGAGTGTCTCAGCTTCAGCGACTTGCCTTCTTCCAGCAGCTCTCCTGGTTCAGCCAGCTCCATCAGCTGGCAAGTCAGCCTCCGGGGTGCATGGCTCTTTGGCTCTGACAATCTTCTGCGGCTCTTTGGCTCTGACAATCTTCTGCAGCTCTTCAGGTCGGAGTTCTTGTCTCATGCCCAGGAGGAATGAGGAACATGAACAGCTGGAAAGTGAGAAAGCAGGATTTATTGAGAGGACAGAAAAGCTCCCACAGCCCCAACTGGGTTCCAATGCTGACCCTGCCACTTGGCCTCTGTGTGACCTTGGGCATGTACTTGAACCCCTCCCAGCTCAACATCCCTGTCCATTATTTCCCAGGTAGTCATACATCTTGTCTAGCAAGCTTGTTATGAGCAGAGCAAAGGTCACTGGATCTTTGCCTTGCCACTTTCACAGAAATGTCCTAATCCAGAGGATTTCCTGCAGCCACAATCAAAAGAGTTAAGCGTGATGCACACTAGAATAGTTTGTCTCAGACCAGAGTAACGTGTACGTGATTGAACATAAGTATGTTAGAAAGAGAGCTATATCTACCTCTGGACTCAGTGAGAGGTTACTTAGCTAAAGGAAATAGCAGTCGATGATCTCAGCCCATTTTTGTTTTTGTTTTGTTTCTTCCTCAGGATAAGTTTGCTTGGATGAGCTACGTGAGCATGATAGCCATCTTCCTCTTTGTCAGTTTCTTTGAAATTGGGCCAGGGCCAATCCCCTGGTTCATGGTGGCTGAGTTTTTCAGCCAAGGACCACGTCCTGCTGCCTTGGCAATTGCTGCATTCAGCAACTGGACCTGCAATTTCATTATAGCTCTGTGTTTCCAGTACATTGCAGTAAGTGGCCTAATGCTGTGCAGATTCACTAAACAGAAGATTAGGTAAGACAGCTGCTAATTGTTTGTTCTCTATCCAGGACTTCTGCGGACCGTATGTGTTTTTCCTCTTTGCTGGAGTGGTCCTGGCCTTTACCCTGTTTACATTTTTCAAAGTTCCAGAAACCAAAGGAAAGTCTTTTGAGGAAATTGCTGCAGAATTCAAAAAGAAGAGTGGCTCAGCACAAGGGTCCAAAGCTGCTGTAGAAATGAAATTCCTTGGAGCAACAGAGGCTGTGTGAAGATAGCAAGCTTTTTGGCATAAACAGAGGCAATCAGGGAATTGTGACCTTGTGCTTTTAAATAACGATTCCTTGAGAATTTTACATCCACATCTTGAAGTATTATCTGATTTTTTAAAGAGCTTTTATGGGCTCTGATAAGAATTGTCATCAAACATCACCAAAGAAAGTATTTTTTAAAGCTGGAGAATATATTTTCTCTCACTTTAAAACTGAATATTAATCACAGCCTTACTGTCATTAAGTAAAGCAAAATGGCCCGCTCCTTTTGTGACACTAAAGGGCAAGTGCCTTACAATATTCCTGGCTCTGTTTTCTATAGCATTTCTCCCGAAATTGAAGAGGTTTCAATATCCTGTACTGTTGCTTTTTTAAATACACGACTAGAAACCTGAAGATACAACTGATATTTACATATTCGAGTATGATTCAGTTGGAATTTTCTTACCCACAGATCTTATACTAAAGGGGCTATAGCTAGTGGCAGTAAAATCCATGTTAAAATGACTATTCCATTTCTTCCACTCAGGCTTTTTCTGAAGTACTAGAATTTGTGTTTTGCTTTACATTTTATTTTTTCTGTATTTTCATATGGAATGGTTTATGGAGCATATTGAAATATGTTTATAGAGAAAAACTGTCATTTTTGGTAGGTCTACCAAAATCTTTCAGTACTCAGAAATATAACAAGAACAACCAACATTTAGTTACTTTGTTTGATGACCAAATGGTTTTAGCACGATTAAACACTAAAAAGCTTTCACCTGGTCATATAGTCGGCGTTATCAGTTAATATTAACACCTATTATAAAACTATGTTAAATCTTTGCTGGTTCAATCCTTAGAGTTATATTTTGTTTGCTTTTCAGTTTAGTACAGCCTGGTCCTCACATACACTCAATCATGAGTCAAGCATTTTGTATATTGCCTCAGACCCCTAAGTTAGACTATTGTAACTTAGGGAAATCTGAAGTAAAGAATTGCTCTGTTTGTTTAAAATATTTTCTGAATTATCATGTGTCAAAATAAGTTGGGAAGGCGGGGTTGGAGGGATCCTAAGGGTGGGATTCTGAAACTTTATGAATATTCAACTTCAGACATGCTCAAAGATCCTATTTATTTTTCCTGATCAAATTTACCAACAGAATGAAGTAGTGAAGATTTAAACAAAGAATCCCAAAGACCAACTTTAAGTTCTTATAGCTCTTTTGACCTACAAACCCCTGAAGTTCAGACTCTGGTGCGTTCTGCCTCCAAGAAATCTAAGCGCCTCACAGTTTCCCTTCCACAATGTTGTCCTTGTAGAGATACTTGCGAACTGAAAAGAAACACTAAAGGTAAACAAGAAGCTGAAAAAGCTTTAGAAGAAGACCAAAGAACTAGCTTGGCATGATAAAAACTCCTAGGTCTTCAGTGGTATATACCATAATAAATAATAAGGTTGGCACTAGTCAGATTTAATCCCAGGGAAATTAGATGTGAGTCTCAAACACTTAATTTTCCCAAGCACTATATCATTTTTATGGAAGTGTCTTCATAGTCTTATGTCCCTACAAATGTGATTTTTCTCATTGCTTTCTTGAAGTATGAAAATTGGACTTCTTGGTCTGACTACTCACCTGCTGCATCTACCCAGGAAAGAGGCTTATCTAGGTTCTTCCCCCCTACTTCCCCAATATGATCATACGATCAGCACGCCAGGCACACTAAGAGGCAGTGAGGCATTGTCCCCTTCCCTCACACTTCAAGGAGCTCACAGGCGAGTGGGGAGTACAGGGAGACCAGGATATTAGCGTTCCCATGTGTGTCGTTTGCCTTCCATAAACCTGGGTTTGGAGTCCTCTCTTGTAAGACAGACAAGGTAACACTATCGACCTCAGAATGTTGTGAGGAGTAACAAAGTGCTAAGCTTAGTCCCTGGTACAAAGAAGCTACTCAGAAAGTGTCACCTAGAATTAGTATTCAGAGAAATACTCTTAATATAAAGCTTATCATATGTAAGATGATTCGAAATTTTTCTTTTGAATAAAAGGGGTTTTTTAAGTTCAAGATACTACTTTCTTTCTTCAAAGAGACAGTCTCACAATGAATCAGGGAAAATATTAGGCTACCTAATTCCTAAATCTGAACTTGATATTTCTAAGTAAGTTTATAAGTTTTTATTATAATTTAAAATTTGCTTTTGCCTAAGTTATGTTATTCTAAGGGCTCTATATGTAATTTTATTTCTTGGAATAAAACAAATTATAAAATAAAATGCTGTATATCATATCTAACTGTAATTTAACTGGATTATAATCACAGACCAAGACTAAACCTTGTTGATAATCCTCAATAATTGCAAAAGTGTTACATACATGGAAGCTAGCAGACATGCACAAGCTACTTCTTATTGCTAGTTTAATTGTTACATATGTAGTAAATATACAATCCAGGCAATGTCTTGTGCTTACAGAGTCCTAAGCAGAGGTGCTGAGTAATATACATATAAAATTTTATATGTATATAATTTTTCATTACAATTCAATATTAGTGACCTGGAGAGAAAAGGTTTATTGCCAGACCCTCTGATCCATCTGCTGGCATTTCTACTGCTTTCTAATTTGATGTACATGAAAAAGAATGATCATGAAGAGAAACTCGTTACAGTTAAGAACATATTTACACTACAGTTTTATGCAATAAATATATTTCTGAATGCTTAGTGTTGCTTCACTTTATACTTAAATCACATTTAAAAATTGATATTGGTTTATATATTGATTTCCTTCTCATAGTATTTTTCCTATTCTCATTTTAGGGATAAAATGTGAATGATTTTTTATTTTTTATTTTTTTGAGTCGGAGTCTCACTCTGTTGCCCAGACTGGAGTGCAGTGGCCGCTCCCGGCCACTGCAGCCTCGACCTGCTGGGCTCCGGCAATCCTTCCGCCTCAGCCTTCCAAGTAGCCGGAATTACAGGCATGGTCTGTGATTATAATCCAGTTAAATTACAGTTACCACGCCTGGCTGATGTTTTGATTTATTGTAGAGATTAGGCCTTGCTGCCCAGGCGGGTCTCGAACCCGCGAGCTCAGGCAATCCACTCACCTCAGCCTCCCAAAGGTGCGGGATTACAGCCTGAGCTACCGAGCCCGGCTGTGAATGATTTTTTTAAGCCCGAATTTTATTTCTGTCTGGCAGTTGTTGATTATAAGTAGCAAAAAAACCTAATCTGAAGGTCAAATAATAACAGGGGAAGAGAAATAACTTCCCTTGATAAAATTAATTTAATTCAGCGAATGCTTAGTTGAGCTCCTAATATATACAAAATACTTTGTTAAAGTTATTTGAAACATACAAAGCTTAGAAAACATGGTCCCTACCCTCACTCACTTGCATTCTCATCAAAAGGATAAGATTTGAAAATAAATAGTTACAGTAGTATAAATAGTATGGTAAAGGAGAGTACAGAAAGAACTATAAGTCAATGGTCTTCAAATTTTTAAGTTGACATCTAAAATTTTTTATTAAATATTTGAAAAGCTGCAAAGGATGTAATTTTTAATAATACAGTATATGATTGCATTTTAAGTTCTGTGCTCTGTTTATTCAATGGAATTTAAACACTATAATAATTTATTACTTGCTATCAACTACTAAAAAACAAAAAAATATATTTTATATATATATAAGCTTTTCCTACATATAGGCAAATATATATGTATAATATATAAGCTTTTTGTCTATATATAAGCTTTTCTTTAACATTTGGAAGTTGTATTGCATTCCTTTTTGTTCTCACATTCCCATTCCACTTCTCCCAAATAATTTTATCCCATAATAATAAATGTATATATTTTCAAACATTTTTATCATTCCATTATAAATTTCTACGACAAAAATATCTATAACTTTAATTTTTAAAATCTCCAGTGTTCTACAAAGGTCAAAATTTTAACCAAGTTTTTCTGGATTGAGTTAGCATTTATGATGATTATTATTATACAACTGCACTACACATCTTAATCAAATAAATTTTATCAAATTTTAAAAGTAGTTACTTTTACATGATGGAATACTACGCAGTCATAAAAAAGAACAAAATCATGAATTTCGCAGCAACCTGGATGGAACTAGAGTCTATAATACTGAGTGACCTCTCACAGAAACAAAGATCCGAGTATCACATGTTCTCACTCATAAAATGGACCTTGAACATCCAATGTAATACTATAAGAAAATGACTGATGGTACTGGGAAACTATGGGGGCAGGAGGGAGATGGGATTAACAGTAGCAAATATCTGTCTGGGGATGGGGAAACACCTCTTATCAACAGGGTGCCTGAATGAAACCTAATTGTACACCTAACCCCTAACTGTACCCCACAAAACCATAATAAAAATTATTGATAAAAAATGAAATTAATTCCAATAAGAAGTGTGATAAATTATTTTTCAATTAATTTATCTATTAACAAATGGATATTCCTTATTGCTAAAGTAAAGCAGTGTTCAGCACAAATTCTATTATCATTTTTTGTTATTCCAGACAAGTTTGGAAAATCTTGTTTTCATTATTAAGTAGATATAAATGGAAGAACAAAAGTCATTCAATTGCATGACCCGTTTCTAAGTTATAGTCAAAAAGCTCATAAAATTACTCATCAAAATAGTTTTTAATAATTTATCCGCTAGTAACTCAGTTGGGCCCTTCTTTAATTCTGTTGAAGAAAAAAAGTTGCGTTACAAAAGGATTGGTTGTGCAGGTGTTACAATCCTTCCTCCACTTACTTGTCTAGGCAGTATATCAAAAAGGCTTTACTATGACTTAACAAAAGAATACTAATTATATTGTTGAATCGTTCACTTACAGGCTCTTTGCTCAACCTGATACACTCAGAAAGGGTTGAGAGAATTTAGGTACTATTAGTGTTATGCATTTTCACATACATATAATACAATTCCTCTATCTTACCACATGTTTTATTTTCATCAACTCATGGGAACTCAGATTTAGCTTGTTAGCTTGCTCAATTCATGGAAAATGCCTGTGATAACCTATGGCGCAAATCCAGTCCTCAATGTCAAGCTAATTTTCTAGACTAGACTCAGTTTCTACCTGATTTCATTTTTTAATTCCAATAAGTACCTTAATACTCACCTGTGACAGCTGTCTCATGTCTGAGTACTTATACTCATACTTATACAGGTAAACATAGATGAGGCATGGATACCTGCCATAAGTCTGTCTCCATACTCTTACAGATGCCTTATTTGCTTTACTTTTACAGATCTTTCCCTCAAGAGCAATGCACTTTGAAAATAATTAGGTAAAATCTAATAAAGAAAAGTGGTCATTATCAAGTTCTATAATGTCTGAATTCAAAATATTCTAACCCAGGCCAAAATACGCAATTCCTTACAGCATCTTCATTA